TAAACGGTGACCACCCAAAGTTATTAATACCCACAACCTGTGTATCTGGCTACCCAATACCAAAATGAACAACTTTTTCAAATACCAAGGCAATCGGGGTTTTTTTTTGTTTTTTTACTGAAAATGTGCTCTACTTCTAAGATACCAGAGCCATTCTATGTTGCAATGGAAAATGGTGATATAAACACCAACCCAGACAGCTGTAGGTAAAACATGAACATGCACATTAAGAGGATGTTAGGCTTGATTTTCAGACTGGAGTTGAATTGACTTGATTTTTTTTGTCTTCAGGTTCAAAGACACAATAAAAATGGCTATAATTTATGTCATTCAGACACAGCACTATTGGACTGTACAACACACCTGGGTTAACTGATTCTCAGTTATTTACAGTGGTGAATGCTAGGTAGGTACACAAAGGAAGACATGATTTTAAAAAGGAAATGTTTGTATACTGCACTGCTGAAATCCTTTCCTGAATTGCAGAAACCTCATGTGATACTCTGTGATGAAACATGCTCCGTGATGAAGTTTCAAAACATCTGAAAAAAAGTGCCTGGCTGTACTTAAGTATTTTTTTCCAATCCGATTTATTACATAAATAAATTTTACATTAGTGATACATGTGCTTCAGCACTTAGGATATATTTTCTTACTCCTGATTTATGAAAATATAAAGACCTCCCAAAATAAACACAACTAATTTAAGCTGCTGCTGGTCTGAATATCAGGTTTCATCTAGTTTAGATGTTCTTTTGATGATAGTGACACCAAGTGGCAGAAGTTACCTCTACTCCCTTATTCTGTGGGCTGTTCTAAATCCTAGCCGGGAAACTATATATCCTTCCAAATATAGGTGAGTGCAGAAAATAGTAACAAATATGCTTCACTTCTGTTTTGGTATGTATAATGCAGGCATCCTTAACACACTCAGTTGATGAAAAGTCAAAGTAAACAAACACAGGTCTGTTTCTTAGCTTTGACACAGCTGACAGCAACCATTCACAAGGAAAAAATAATTCAAGGGAAAGAGTTTTATTAATTCAGATATTCTCTCTAACTTTATTCCCACAGAGCTTTTTACTGGTGTGGTGTTGTGTTATATGTTTTGTGGGTTCTGTGGACAAAATTATTTTTTAATACATTCTTTAACTCTGTAAAATTATAGCTTTTTTCCTCCCGTTTCCTCCTATTCACTGATTACATCAACACATGTCCTTTCATTTTTACTTCTGGGTTCTGAAGAACGTCTAAATATTTGTTGGAGGTACTAGCAACCCCATATTAATTTGTACAAACATGGTACTGAATATAGTTTGACTGCTGTAATGAGTGCATAAACTTTGTCTGATGAGGACCCAAACATTTTTTAGTTTTTCCTCCCATTGCTTTTCCATTGTCTGGCTCTCATACAAATAATACAAGATTCCAGAACTGCATTATGGTCTATGGCTCAGCACAGCAAAGAAATGCCGAATCATCAACATTCAGATCTCTGATGTTCAAGCTACGTTGAAAAGAAAGCAAGAAAGCAGCTCCAGAACCCTTTCTTCCCCCCATTCAGCCCTCAAAGGTGCTGTGTTACAATGCCTTTTTTTCTTTGGCATGCAAAGTTGAACAAGGATCCTGTGCGGGCCTATAAAGTTTCTTCCTTAAGTAACCCAGAAGTGAGTCTCTGAAGAGCAATGCCAGATATTCTCTCCTTAGAAAAATCAGAGCATATATCCCCTTGTTCTGTAGTCTAGCACCTGTTCACTCAGGGAGCTCAGAACCAAATTGGAAACTCATGCTGAATTTTCATACAGCAACATAAAATATGCTACATGTGGTCCAGAACTGAAAACAGCTTGGAACAGAATTTTGGCAGGAGTTGGAGGAAATGTCTGTTGCATAATGTCTTGATAAAAGTAATATATTAACATCTAACCTTTCATTGTGCAGGATTCAAAGTATGTTTTAAATGTACGGACTGACCCCAAAACCAATGTCTACACTAAGCAGCACATTAGTCTAAGAGTTTGCTGCTTAACTTCAATGACACTATCCATGGAAAGAATTACAGGGAACCTTCGCTATTCGCAGGTTCAGCATTCGCGGTTTCAGATATTCACAAATGTTGAACCCACATCTTAAATACGCTTACAGGAGCTCCTCGGAAGCTCTGCACTTGCTGCTGCCAGGCTCTTGCCATTGCCAGCGCAGCTGTGCCCCCCCCCCCCAAACCGCTGGGGGCGCTGCGTTCATGAACGCAGTGCCATATTCATGGATTTTGCCATTCATGGGTATCTCCAGAACGTATCCCCCGCGAATGGCGAGGGTGGCCTGTACTCAATTCAGTTAATGGTATCAGAGTTAGCCCCATAAGGAGATAAATATAGGACTACTTCATTCATCACCAAAATGCAAGTGCTCAATAGTATACAGTGATGCTATGTAAGTTAGGGCATGTCACAAACCGTATTTAACTGAAAATGTAGGTACCAGAATAACACTAATTCTCAAAAGAAAGGTGATGCGGTCATGGCTTTTTTACCATATCTGAATGCTTGCCCATTCATCACAGCTGTCATAGGATTACATGTTACTTATGGAGGCAACAATAACATTTCTTTCAGCACCAAGGGGCACCTATACACATGATGAAGCTCTGCTCCGTGTGCTAATTAGCCGGGGATGCTGAATACATGTGATGCTGCAGGTGATTTAATTAGAGCGGCTCTCAGAGCTCTAATTAACGTACCTTCCCGCTCCCCAACCAGGAGCACATATATAGACGCTAAAGGTGTTCACCTGCCAGTACTGGTTCAGTCTACTCCTTATTCTGAGAGAGCACAATGCGACACAGCTGCAGGTCACAAAGAATATAAACTACGATCACTTCTTTTTCTGTATAAGCAGTAATTAAAATACTACCAATATACATCAAGTAAAATAAAAAGTAATTTTACTTAAAAGGAACATGCTAAGTGTTTAGAAACAAAATCCTTAAATGCTTGCATTCTCAAAGCCCACAGTCTTCTAGTTCTGTGAGCTCATTTCTGTCATAAATCATTCATTTGAAAGGACATTATGTAAAACAAGAGTAAAGCAAACTTTACGGACACATGACCTTTGCAAAGCTATTTATGGCTTCTCTGAATTATCTCAGCATTAGGTTTAGCTTCTATTAGATGTTACTACTGTGACAAATACGATGAGACATTCTTGGAATTTAAAGTTTAAAATCCAGGTATTATTGTAACAACAAGTAAACACACACGCACACAGTTATAGACCAAAATGCAATGCAACCCAAGAAAAATAAAATCTGGTGCCTAAACACATTCCCATTTAAATTTTCTTTCTGTTAAAATGCCACTGTCAGATACACAGACTGGAAGGAGCCATTAAATTCTACTTGAGGTTATAAGGCTTGTTTTCACTAGGAGAAAGAAAAAAAACTGGGTTCACGTGACTTGTCAGCGTAACATGAGGTAAAATCCTAATACATTCAAGGCTATTTGTAGTTTTAACACAAGTTAAGGTGAGATAAAACTTTTAACTAACTTGTGAAAAAATATTAAGTATCACGTCTTTACTAGAAATGTATCTTGTTAGAATCACCATGAGTTACCTAAGATGAGCTAAGAACACCTCTTTTTGTCCTACTGCCCCATAATGCCCATTTTTCAGACCTACAGCCTGGTCTGTTCAGGTATTTTCTGATGTATTTCCAGCCTGTTTCAAGTACATGTATCAGGGAAGACTCGGCATACTGCTGAACAGATCAGCTACACTTACTTATTTTCTGAGGAACACTAACCAAATAACTCCAAGTTAAAAGGACTATTTGTGTACTTGTATTTTAGCACATGCATAAATCTTTGTAGGATCAAGGCCAGAGAAAGTATCAGGGAATGCCAGCAGAGAAAGGTAAATACTGAAACAATACTAACACTGTACTTGAAGATGTATTGGTCTTGGAGAAGAAATAAAGGATTACACACCTGACTTGAAAACGTTCCAGCTATTGAGTACAAAGGGCACATTCCTTTATCTCTGATTTCAAGATTCATTTGTGCCTTAAGTTATATTACTGTGATCTTACAAGATAGTGTTACTCCTTTGGGTAAGATTTAAGGCACTTTGCCAATTCTTTGTAATGAGCTCACTGGTTTTATTACCCTGTCCCTTAGCACTCTACCTGCCTTTGTCTCTGTCCCCTTGACTGTACAATTCTTCACAGACTTGCTAAATTGAATTTTTTTCACCTCACATTCCCCTTGCTTCTCCCACACTTGTTCTATCCATCTTTCTTGTCTCAGCCTCCTTTCAATGACTTTTCAGGTCTGGGAGTTGTTCCATTATTGTCCCTCTTCACTCATCAGACATTTTCTTCCCAGCCCCTTATCTCTGCCACTGATTTTTACCTTTAAGCTTAGCATCCCTTTTCTATTGACTTCCCTTTTTTGAACACAGTGACCTGGAAGCTTAAGCTCAGGTTTCAGTGTCCTCAGATGCTACCAATAAGTTCCTCTAAAAAGTTTTGAAAAGTCCTCAAGCAACCCCTGCCCCCGCCTCCCTGATTGTCACAATGATCAAGAAAGTTAAAGTGTAGGCTCTCCAAAGAGCTTGCTGCAGGCATCCAGCAATAGGAGGGTCTACTATTTTTAACATTTAAAAAAAAACCCAAGCAAATACTCTGTTAAAAATGGCTGAGCATAGGAATGCACAGGGATACAATGAATCCGTTTTTGCTCATAGTTTGTCATTAAGATATTTAGGTGATATGCCAGCTCCAGTGAAGTCAGTGGAACTTTTACTGAAAGGTGCTGGGCTGCATTTTATCTGGTTAGAAAAGTGCAAGTTATGTGCCCAATATGTATAGTTTGGCAGACCTGTGATGGACTTCACTATTGTTATTTCTTTTATGACAAGCAGCTCGAAAAGCAGTAATTTCTACTGACTTGAACTGCAAAGTCAAGGTAGCAGCAGCATCTATAGGCCATGTTAGTACTTACATCCACGTTCCTTTCACTTGCAGAACTAAATACATCCTCATCACTACAATCACTGTCCATCCTCAAATGTTCTTCCTTCTGCAACACAAACAAGCATCCAACACATCCATGGAAAAAAACAACACAAGAAACATCTGTTTCTACAATGTGCTAAGCCTGTTCAAGTGGCACTGTAAGACCCTGCTCAGACCTTACTGCCTCCAGTGGCAAGAGGGTGATGGGGAGGGTCTGAGATTAGGCCTTGTACCTGCCTTCAGAATGGCCCATAAAGAGGAACTGGGGAGCAATCTGTCTCATGAAATAGTGTGGCAGAGCACATCTTCCCCGGGGCATAATAAGCAGCCTTGCACCCTGCAAATGTGCTGCCACTCTGTGCTACTCCCTAATACACAGACCTTGTGCAGAGAGTACAGGCCATACCAGGGTGTAAAACAAACACATGCCGCAGATATAGAGGATCATAATGGGTCAGAGTATATTGAAAACAACACAAACACTCAAGCCCTTACTGGAGAAAAAAAGGCAAGAGAGTAATACAACAGAATAGCTGTGACTCAAGGGAGACTGAAATGCAGAACAGAAAATTTCATAAGCGCTCAAAAGTAGCAACAAGAAAGAATTGCATCTTTTATTGTATTTGTAAAATATGTATCTTATGGTCTGTTTATAGTTTCTGCCTTCTCCCAAATCCTTTTGTATTTATCAGGGCCATAGCCAGGCATGCACGTCATGCAAGTAAAAATCTGGTCTGATATCTTGGGATTTGGGTATTAATACCTTTAGGTTCCTTTGAGGAAAAAAAACACAGATCAGAATGTCAATTTCTTCCCTGCCTAATCCCAGAAATGTATAGAATGAAAGGGGATGGCAAACATGGCATGATGCTTAGTTCACACCAGAATAATTTCAGTTTAGTCCCAAATGGATGTCATAGAACATCATGGTTTCCGGCAAGATTTCCAGAAAAAATATTATGATCTTCTCTGGAGAAGCCCAGGACTGTAAAAGCAAAAATCCTGCAAATCAAACCTGAGGTATGTGAGGGGAATCAACTAAACTGACAAGAGCTTACAGGCCCCAGTAAGAGGTTTTTAGAAAGGTGGGAAAAAAGCAAGCAGCACATTACATCCAGAGAACTATTATATGCAGCCCAGCTGAATAAAAGACAGTTCCATGTTTAAGATACTAGATTAGAGTCCAGAAAATGTGGTTCAACTTCCTGGCTTGCTAAAAACTTCCTGTTTGACAGTGTGAGCTGCAATCTCTCAGGACTTCAATTTTTCACTTTTAAGGCAAAAATAATTTCTTATTGAGGATAACAGCACTTACTTGACTTAAATTCTGTCTCTTAAAGCAACCAGTTCAGAGGTGTCATTTACAATGAATTCAAAAACGGTGAGACCAGATATACAACAGAGTTCAGTGACCAGCATGTCCTGCGACATACTAAGTGTTGAGATCTTTCAAACATCTGACCCTAACATTGGCTCTGAAACATTTTTGAAAGCTTAGATGTGCACTTCTAAAAATCTGACTCTCCAAGACTCTCCAGGATTAAGCTAATACCAACAATGTCATTAAGCATATATTTCCCAGTAAATAGTCCAACATGCTTACAAACTTTCTGAGTGTAATGGCGTAGTCTTGGGAGGAATGAAGAAACATGAAACATTCCTTTGCCAGGCTGTTATCCTAGAGGGGTGAACTTTAATAATACTTTATCACATTCATTTAGTGATACTAAGATTGCAAAACAGTTGTCCTTATAAATGTGTGTTTTTACATGTTCTCAGCTTCCTGGAAGATTCACCTTGTGGGCTGAAACTGTGCAGGTTTAGCCTCTGTGATCAGTAGCAAGTGTTTCTAGAAAAGCATCTTCAGCAATTTTTGAGTTCTGCAAGCCATAGACAAAATATTCCCTGTAAAATTTTCCCTTTCAAAAGATTGCTGCTGCATATCCATCACTTACTCGTCTAAAAAAGTAAAATTTGACAATAAGGGTAAAGTTAAGCCAAATCTTGGCTGCAGCTAAGCCAATAGCAAAACTGCCTTTAAGGCCAGGATTTCAACATTGGTATGTAAAAAAGACCTGCACTGGACAACAGAGCTAAACATCTGCAATGTTGCCAATTTTTGCAATGTGACTGAGAGTCTTGGGTATTTGATACCTTTCTTAACATTCCAGGATTGATGGGATTCAGTGTAAATCTCAAAATAAATAAATAAAAAATAGAAAGCCAGCTCCCATGGTTGTGGAGAAAGTTTAAAATCATGATAAAACTTAATCTGACAAACTCAGATGTGAAAATCAAAACAATGAGCCCCAAGTTTACTACTTTTTCCTCACGAGTTTTAAGACACTCTTATAATTTTTGAAGGCATAGGGCTGGCAATGCTGCAATTGCAGATATTACTGAACGTAGGTATTGCTAAACTTACAAACAATCAAAAATTGAAGATCATGTTCACAAAGCAGAAATGCCGTTAAGTATTTGTTTTTGTTTTATATAAAGAGATGTCATTTCTATTATATATAGGGATACTTTGCACATTATGGATTCCTTCATAAATGCACACATAGTAGCATATGTTGTTAATGAGAAGGGAAGTGACTTATTCACAAATGTTTGCCCTTATTAATGCCTACTGAACTCAAATGCTTGACATTTAAAAAACAAAGTCTTTTGTTAGCTGTTCAATACACTCAACTCCTTCAATTAAGAGCTGAAAGACATGCAGGGAACATGGAAACGTTCAAGATGCATGTGCCTAAAGTAGTTTATTCTTCTCCTACTGAACAAACCTTCAGAATAAGACACATAGAAGGGACTGAAAAGGAAGCTAGAAAGAAAACAACTTATTGAGCACAATATAAACACTTACCTTGCTGCTTCTTTTATTAACTTTGAAAAAACCCAGAAATCCTCTTTTTTCTTTTTCTATTGCATCACTGCTCACTGAAGCACTTCGACTTGTTTCTGAAACAGCGATAATGGAAAAATGTTTACACTCCTTAAAGTAAAGCAGGAGAAAGTCAGATTTTAAAATGAACCTGGATTAACTCTGTAGTCCTTAAAAAACAACTCGTGTGTGTACAGCCAGTGATGAGGGAAATAATGGAATAAAGTGCCAGATCCTGCATCCTCTCTTTCATAGATTCTTACCCAGTCACAGTCTGGCCCACTGCTCTAGGAAGTCAATAGGAATCTGTCCTTAGACTGGGTTTCAGATCAAACCTTACTCAAATGTGATGGTGGTTACATCTGCAGGGTAAATCTACCATACATCACAGTAATGCACTTAAGCACACTGAGTTGCTTCAGGCAGTAGGATCTGAAACAGGAAGTAAGGTAGTCATGTCTCTGTGTCCATAAGAGTAGGGTAAGTAGCCTGGGAACCAGCTAACTGGCCCTGGCACCTAGTAACGCTACCCAGTTTACCCAGGCCAGGAGTATATGCTTGAGGGTGCTGTTGCAAGGGTCAGGAATTTATAAATAACATTCTTACAGGAGTACAATGTTGTAAGATGGGTCCCCACATTGGTTACTTAGGCACTATGGGCACTGGCACATATTACATTTATTGTGCAATTAACTGTACCATACTTATAGACTGGCTACACACGCAAAGCAATTATTGCACAATAAAAAGGCCAACCAGCCACAAATACGTTGCTTCAAAAACTGTAAATATTTTTATAACTGATTTCTACCAAGTTTTAATTTGAATGTGTGGCATGTCACTACTGAAGCGGTTTAGGCCCTGGCACATGCTACATATACTATGTAATTAACCGTTTGACTATGCAGTAATTCTGGAGAGCCTACATGTGCAAAGTAATTATCGAATGATAAAAATAGATCTTCAAAAATGACCAAGCAGCCATAAAGAAGTTTTTTTAAAAATGTAGAAAAATGCTGTAGCTGGTTTCTAACAAGTTTTTATTTGAATACATGGCATGTCCCAGGTCCTTCCTGGGTCACAGTTTCATAGTTTCTAGGGTCGGAAGGGACCTGAGCAGATCATCTAGTCCGACCCCCCGCCATGGCAGGAAAGAGTACTGGGGTTAAACGACCCCAGCAAGGTGTTCATCTAACCTCCTCTTAAAAACCCCCAGGGTAGGAGCCTGCACCACTTCCCTTGGAAGTTGGTTCCAGACCCTAGCCGCCCTGACCGTGAAATAGCGCCTTCTGATGTCTAACCTAAACCTACCCTCTGCCAGCTTGTGACCGTTGTTCCTGGTCACTCCTGGCTGTGCTCGGGGGAACAGTGACTCCCCCAATGCCTTCTGATCCCCCCTGACCAGTTTGTAACAGGCCACAAGATCCCCCCT